TTTAGTGGACTCCGTTTTATCAAAGAAAAAGAGATCCACAAGAAGTTTAAAGTCACCATCTTTCATTTCTACAGACTGAAACAGGTTRACATGCAAAAGAAATCGGAAAAACAAGAATGAGATTTTTGGACTTGAAAATTACTCCCATGCATATTCTAAAAAACAACTTCAAAAAGTTCAAAGTTCCGTCAAACAAGATTCAGTCTAATAATGGACGGAGTTAAGAGCCTAAAGCTWAAAGATGCTCATTTTAAGGGTTCTTACAATATCTTATTAGTCGCAGTGCAGTTTACTGACAATGCCGGAAGTTAACCCCCGTCAATCCCATTAAATCGTAAAATWAAAAATAAAAACATTTCTCAGTTCGGTCCTCGGGCAGGTTTAATAATGTCTTTTGGTCGTAATTCATAATATTGAAAAAATCTTTATCATTTGATACTGACTRGCGGGATAATTCATAGTGAAAAATAAGAGGTTTAAAATTTTGTGTTTCATGCGATTCTTTTCATTGACGTGTTTCTAATCTTCTGGCTAAAAATGGATGTCATTAATTTTCTAAAAACCTTTTTTGGATCCATTACGTATCCTGTATCATTAACAAATGAGCATAAATCTGATAATCATGGTTCGATATGGTCTAACTGACCAACGGGCCTACAATTCCGTCCTGTGATCATGACTGATGACTCACAACTCGAGGACACATTCATAGACGCGGTGAGCTTTAGTAGATCTTCTATACCAGACATTAAAAATCAGCTGTTGATTTTCTTTAACTATACCACTGAGAAGAGCGCGAAATTGAAATAAGAAAATGTTCCAACTTTGAAAAAAAAAAAAAAAAAAGAAAAATATAGAAAAGATTCATCACTATAAAGTTACCAATTTTACAAAGAAATTAGTATATTGAGTACATTATATTCCATTTTAATGTAGCGCAAGGCTGCGAAGCTGTATCTTCTCAAGTTTTCAACAAATTACTCTCAAACTTGTCAAGTTTAAAAATTTTACTACTATTAATTTAAGTAATAGATTTTCATTAGACGATTGATAAATTTCGGTCATAGCTATGAAATTGATTATTGCTGGACTTCGTCGATTTTCCCAAAGCACACCACCAGCCGTTTCCCACAGATAAGCTCTTGATGAATTAGGTTATTGCCGCCGCTTTCTAAACGAGCTGATAACTAATAAGAATAAAAAAYCAGCAATTGAATTATCGCAATAAATCGAAATGATAATTGTGAAGTTAAGCCTACGTAAAAACTTATGAAAATTCTAAAAAGTCTTTTGAAATTTATTGGTAAACTGTTCTCCATGGCAACTCATTGGCACAGACATATATCTTCATGGGATTGTCGTCTAAGGATCAAACGCTTATCGGGTTAAATTTGAACAATTCTAACTTAAAGTGTCATCTTAAAGTCATTAAAATGTTCGTTTAAAGTGATAAAACTATATAACGAATTAAGAAATAACGAGATCGGTGTTTTACTCTTTTTCTAGTCCCTCCGCCGCCATCGTGAATTATGGGATTATTACGAAGGCCCATCATAATGGAATAATTTTCCTTGGTGCTTTACAAAAACTTCGCCCATTTTTAAGATGATTGATAGCTCGGAAAAACCAAATCCTTATGAAAATTTAAGGGTCACGAAAGAAAGTTTTCTTAGTTTTATAAAACGATCTTATTTCGAATTTAGGGAAGGTCAGGTCCTTAATCTGCGAAGCCATTTTTTTCAACAACAAGCTTTCTTAAAAAGATTTCGTAAAACTGAAATAGTTTGGTCTCAAGTGAAACTGCTCTTTGCTAAGCCTCTTATTACTGTACTGGGAGTGGCCTTATGTTAGCATGATATATCAGTCTTTTCATAACTGTCCAGGAACGAACGCTGCCATTTATTCTTGAGTTTAGTTCACTATGACGTAATCTAAAAAACTTACACTTTATGTCATTTAAGAGGGAATCACTAACAGTTGAAATCTGATCCTAACTAAAAGTAGTTTTCATGAAGAAACCTGGCCTTATGAAATCGTTATTTACATAGTTAGTACTATGTTAGTACTATGTTAGTACTACTAACTATGTTATTTATCAACACCAATTCAGATGTCTAATTTTCTATGAGATTAATACCGCTACGATTTAAAAGAACGGATCACAGAATATTGACTTTTTGAAGCTACAGTTCTCTAAATTTCACATGTCCCGTCTACACGAATCCAGAGATTTTGTATACGAGTGGTTAATTACAGCTGTAAGGTTGTCACTCAAAAACATAAAAGACACAACTGTGCGACCGAAAAGCTTTGTGGGTAAATAGTTTTAAACACTCTGAAAATCACGCACACTAGAGGCAACAACTCGTAAGTAAGAAATCGTTTTTGTCAAACGTCTTATAAAATAATYCCGTCTAAGTAAAACCGACCAAACGCATGTATTTTCCATGTTGCTTATGGGTTTAGGTTTCACCTTCATAGCAGAGTGATAATCTTAAGTAAGTGTATATCATACACAACAAAGGCAAAAATACGTATGCGTGAAAAATTTTGTTACATTTTAATTCCTTTGAAATTTACTCGGTAAATTCGACAAATAATATTCATAGTGACAAAACGCAAACACATGATCAGTCATATGCTTATCTTACTTCATATAAGAGTGAAAGATAATCATTTTCATTTTCCTTTTTCCAGAAATTTTTCCTTTTCCTCGTAGAAGGGGGTGGAAAAATTCCTKTGCTCGCAGGGTAAATAAAAAGAAAAAGATATTTTAGGGAATTTGTTCATATACACAGGCATGCATTTCATGATTCTTTAATGCTGTCATCGATGACTCGTGTCATATCAACTTCTTGTCGACTTTTTTTCCTTTGTTCATACGAGATCGCCGGAAAGAAACGTCTCTTCTACTTTTCCGATTGAAMGTTAACTTAAATATTATGTAAAGAAAGAAGTAAAAATAAAAACGGAAAATARACAACTATGTGTGTTGACAGGATTATTAAAACGCCATGCCAAAAACACATGTCACATGCCTCCATTTCATCGTGACAAGCGCTTGATAAAATACAACAAGCAGTAGACCGGAAAAAAACTAAATGTCAACTTAACCCTGAGTTGCTTACACGTCATGTAGTTTTAAAGTTATTTTCGAGAGGTGTCACGTGTGGTTTATTTTTCCAATTTGTTTTCAAATGCCAACAATCCTGAAATATGCTGTATATTTGTTTATATCACTGATGCAGTTTGCTTCCAAGGAAGTTTGGTATTGCAATAATGTTCATTAGAAGATCAACACTGTTAAAATCCACAACGTAAAGAGCTTTTCCTATAGATGGATGTCAAATTCACCCCGAGGGCTTATTTTGTATTGTGTGATTAGTGTTATCGGTATTGGTATGTCATTGTTGTTGTTAATCACAGCACGCCGGRGAATTATCGACATTTTTACGCTAATTGGTGCATAGGATGTTTGGATTCACAACAACAACTAAATTCATTGTTATTTACGAGATCAAACTTGCCTCAGGGGAAACTTTGGGTAGTTGCTCTTTAAGTCAGCATATGGAAGAGGGTAGAGGGACTGTGGGATGGTTATATTTTCGCCATCATTATTGGAAAGGAAAAATGAAAACTTCCATAAAAAAATGTCTATCTAAAATATCCACCACACCCCGATACAAGGACAGATCCTTGGTTACCAGGAKCTTTATACTTTCTTGTAGAATGACAGTAAATACAGAAATATTTGTTGGTTAATTGATGACTGACATATGATCAATACAATGCATACATGTCACAGTTAATCGATTCCTATTTGAAGCTATTAAGATACTCAACTTATGCCGAGAAGAGAGCTAACATAATACCGTAACATAAAACAATATCCGTATCGTGATGTAAGGGGAGAAGTTTACTATAGAAGTACAGAAAATCRGAAAAATACTTATGGGTTTCCTGTGTTGTTAACCTAGCGCACATTTTGCTATAACGTTGATGTGCACCACCAGTGCAACCCGAGCCGTTTTGTCGTTTTTTCGATTGTGTTTCCGATTTCAATTTTACTGGCTTTTTAGCGAGAGCAAGCATTACGTATTTCAAAACAGGTCTTTTAACATACTCTACTGTGTAGGTAGTTATTAAAAAGCATTTTCAACAACCTAAAACGTTAATATCGCATCAGACATCCGCCATCTTGATCCATTCAGCACTTAATACAATCCTTACGCTAATTACGTTATTTTTACTAATGTTTGCGGGCAAAAATTTTGTCGCGAAATCGGAGCAAGAGTACYTATATTTCGCGGGCAATAATTTTCGCGGTTTTGCGAAATAATAGGGTCTTATATACCGCCAAATTATGAAAGACTAGTTCTCTACAATTAAATCAATATGTGCCCCCTCCCCTCTCCTCCCCAAAATACATGCCTCGTACTCATAGGCCGGTGTCCTGGGCACAAGTAATTAAATTTTCATGASAATTCACCAAACGGAGAGAAATTTCTGAGCACTGTGCTGAAGAYGTTCATWYAAAAYTCCAAAACCATTGTCTCATGTTTTATGCAAGTCAGAGTTGTCAGACATAACTTACAGTTTTCTTCAGTTGTTCTTATCAAAGTCCAGTCACAGACCCTTTTTGAGCCTACTCGGTTGAACTGTTGGTTGTGAGAAAAGGGTCTGCATGTGCATGCTTTACATCACACCGCATTTCATTATATAAACAGGATATTACATGGGCATGGGAAGATACGGATTTTATCTTCAAGTGTTTAAGAGATCTCAACACAAGAAGATAATAAAATTCATATCTCCTTGCAACCATGTAACATTCTGTTTATGCCATAAAATAAGTTTCACTATATAGAGAAACCTCGAATGTGTTATTTTCACTATTTTCACAAGTTCAGTAGTCTTTACGAAATGGAYGAATATAGATATTTCATAGATAATTAGGTCAAGTTAGGTTTGAATTATTGTTGTTAACATAAGCTATTTACCCATAAGGCTTCACATCCCACTGCATTCCATAATATTCTATCAGATCTTGAACTGGGTTCTAATGACACTCAATAACTGGAAAAAAGGAATAACCTTTATAAATAGAAAAAAATAAATAAATGAAAGAACAAAAAAGTGAAATTTTAAAACTTTTTGTGTTTCATCACTGAACTTTGCAGTGTGCATTATTTCATCTTGCACTTCATGGCCAAGGATGTAAGTCCTGGTAGCAAACTCTAATGTATGGCTTCATTGCAATTTCATGACAAATAAATCTCCAGCCGACAGTTTGACTGAATGGTTTGCACCCTGTCCAAGTCTATTTGACCAAATATGGTAGAGGATTTTGCTCCCAAAAACTATTACCACATTTTTTGATAATCCTCACACGTTGATGTCCATTCACTATTCTATGTAACATCACCTAGCTAACGAACTAAAAACTTTAACCAAAAATGCAATCTAACCTCATAAGCTTAAGCTTAAATGAATTGTGAGTAGATGGATCCATGGTAAACCCCAGAGTTGCAGTAAAATATAAATATATAAAATATAATGCACTAAGTAACTATTGAAACTTACGAGTTTGGTTGTTAGACTTCTCTAATCCCGTGCACGTTTCATTCAAAGATTCACTACATAGGCGACATCGACACACGTAAGCTTTCTTGTCAACCAAGACAGTTTGTGTACGAATTTCGATAATATTGCATCCAAAACGCTCATATTTAGCCAAAGAATTATTTGGCATGGAAGTAAATGATAGCATTTTAGTATTATAGTGAAAAATGTACCAAATGTCGAGGAAATATTACGAATATTTAGAAAATTATATCGAGGGCAAAACCAAACTCTCGTCAAAACTGCCGCCATTTTTGTTAAGATTGGAGAACTAGTTCCACTCCTACCCGATAAATATTAAACAGGAATCCCAAAAAATATATAAAATATACGTGCGATTACGTACAGTGGTTTTGATAGTTATGAAGGAGAAATCTATAGCGGAGATAAAGCTTTTGCTCAATTACATAAATGAGGAAGAACAGATACAGCGGCTCGCGTGCATGAGCAAATTTTGATTGCAAATTTTTGCAACACTTGAAACAATTTTGAACATACCGTACTGCCGCGAGGTTTAAACATGAATTACTTCAAATTGAGGTTACATACCGGCATCTGCGCCATCTCAAATGCTAGTCATGCCCTTGCTTCGAAGCAAGACGGACTATTGAGCGCGCATGATAAAAACCTTCGTTCACGTCTAAATATCGCCCCATGTAAGACAATCCAGAAAACTAGACGATTCCAGATTCCAAGCCTCGAAATTCCGGGTTCCAAAGCATGTTTTAGGAGGAGCCGACGGGTTCCTGGGAAAAATATATATCTGTTCTTATGTCCCAGCCAGCTGTATTGCCAGCTAGAAATTCAGGAAAAAAAGAACTCTACAGGCAAGGAATACTTTCTAAGAATTTTTACCAGGAAAATAAAAACGTCCTAACTAAAAAAGTATAAGCCGTTTATGCGTTATATAAACCTTGTTTGACCTTAAAACGTTTGCCAGGAACAAAATTATTTTAAAGAAGGAAGGGCGCCACATTTGCTTGTGAGATGTTGTCAACAACGTAGCCCAAAATCCCTTTCCCAGGAAAAATATCGTGCAAGAACAGTTATTTAGAAGAACAGACCTCGTCGGCTCCTTCTGATGTTTTTTGGGATTTCAAAATTTTTGCTTGATTCTGGATTCCAAAAATTTGGATTCCGGATTCCAGGATGCGGATTCTGGATCCCAAAGCTGTTTTTACTGGATTCCGGATTATTTTACAGGTATCTATCATTTCAGCCTCAACGATCGTCTAGCTTCAACGCAAAGGTACGACTTCCTTCCCAGCTAGGAACCGTAAAGAAACTGATGCCCGCTAGGTACCGATCCCGGCTTGCTACGAACCTTAAAGGAACCGATCCCGCGCGGCTAGGAACTGATTCGAAACCGCTGTAACTTGCATCGAACTGCTAATGGTTGAACGACTTCTTTTCAAAAACATTTATTACAGATTTTCTATTTAACCATCTTATGTCTTTCATTAAACTCAAATGAAATGCCTGCCCGCAGACAGATTGTTAATACAAACGCTTTTCTGTGTCATCACAGAACGTAATTAATATATTCAGAGCATAGTAATGATCAGAGTCAGTTAATTAAATCATCTTAAATTGTAATACAAACTTATCTGCGGCAAGCATACTGAACAACAAMCAATAACAAAACGATATTTCTTACTATCAGATCCTTTGTACTGCGCGTGTAACCTTCCCCGATAGACAACTATCATCGAAATTTGAAAAAACTCCAATGCTTTTCACCGTCTCCAATAAAAAACTTCACAACATGTTTAAAACTTTATAACGATTTAACGATACGAAAGTATTCTCAGCAAGAAAAATATCTCCGATTCCTAACCACGCTCAAAAGAATTGAAGACGAGGCTCAGGAGGGCAAGTCCTTRGTTTCCCGGAGCCCCGTCCTCAAATATTTTGTACCATCAAACATGACATTTGTCTTAGATTCTCTTCAGCGCTCATGCTGACTAATGGGCACTTGAAAATGACATCCCACATATTGTTCTTAGTATTAGGAATAGCAAAAGTAAAATAGAAAATTATGTGAATAACTTTGCTACCAAAAATGGATGTCAGATGCTAATGCAAATGTCGCGAAGGTGTAAAAATAATATCATACATTATGAGGTCCCGACAAAACGATATTACTATACAACAGTTTTCCTGATGACATTCCGTCGTTGAATCACGCAASACAAATCGTCACAAGCTCAAGTCACGCAACCACATAAAGTCACCTGAGTGAAGTCAAAAAACCCGTGAAAAAGACTAATACACTTTCGTAATCACTAAAACCACTGTTTTCTCTTTTGTGTATTTGATTGTTACACCTTAAGAGGTGATTACTTCACAGGTTTAATGTCTTCACTATAATACGCCAAGAACCTTCACGTCACGTCACGTCACGCAAGTCAACTGCCCTGTCACCKTAGTTGACAGTAGAACTTCTCCSGTGAAAACCTTTCCCCTAGTGCGTAATCAACTTTTCCCCTAGTGCGTACACTGTGAAGATAATCTATGTACAAACGACAAATGTACCGCAGTATTTTCGAGAATTTAGTCTATCGATACGTGGAATTCAAAAACGTGTTCATTGTTGGACTGCGACTTTATCAGGACCACCATATATGGAGAAAGATCGGCCATCTTTATGTGCACATTTGTAACGAATTTTACACCAAATGGATCCTAAAAACACAAAACAAGATCAGTTTAAGATGAATAATAGTTGTAGTGGATGGTTATACATGTAATGAATTCGATATTTACAACAGTTACAACTACAGCGTGATAGCCACTAATGGTGGCTACCAAGACAACAAAGACGATGACAAACAATAGCAACAACAACTGACAACAACGACAACAACAAAACCAACAAGGTGATTTTCAGTGAAAGTTTCAACGACAACCTAACACCAACAAGGATACACGGACAACGGTAACGATGGCAAACATGACAACCACAACAACAACAGKAACAACAACAACAGCAACCACAGCAACACTAGAAACAACAAAATGACTTCCAATGTTGTTAATGACCTGGTGTATGTATTTTCATGTCTTGTGTCTGAGCTGTGAAGACATGGATGTCGATCGTTGAGGTTGAGGCGGTTGAACGCGTTGCGATGAGCTCGACATGGAACGATCACCCATATGCCTTCTCATAATATGATCGTCGCCGGGGTGTCTGGGAACGAACGGGTAGGTAAGAACATAGGTAAATATACATGTTAAAACCGACACAAAAAAGAAGGATGGTGCAAGACGGGTTGAATAGTCACTTACCGAACTGACGAACTTTTTGATTTGGGTTGTTTTTTAACTATTTTCTTGCTGAGGTATAAGACCCATTCCTTCTGTTCCTCTGGCGAACCTGCCAGAACTAATAAGTCCTTGGCTGAAATCAGGTCTGCGTTCACTGGAAGAGTAAGTGAAATGATAAGCACACAGGAACAAAAGGGCAATAGGGACCAGCAACAACAGTATGACAGCAGAAACTATCTTCAATGAAAATCCATGTGTAGTCATGCCTTGGATGTGAATATAGTAGAAAAATAGCGACTCCGGYAGGCACAATTTTAATGTGGTCTTTTATTTACAAACGTTTCGCCTATGACGGCGGGCTTCATCAGTAAAATTGCGCCTTCAGAAGTTGTTGTTTTCTACTATATAACTATCTTCAATTTGCTAAAATTCATACTCACCGTTACACGATTGAATACAAGCTTCTTCACGATCCACATGATCCTTATGACACTTAAGATGACAACCTGTCAATAAATCAATGTTAACATGTGAATCTACGTATAAGTCCCTATATACGTAAGTAATTAACGTACAAACACGGATGCAGATGCGTATTAATAACATGAAAACTGCACGTTTGTGTTAGCATGGCATTAATACACGTTTCTGAATGCAAATATTTATTTACGTTCCCAAAACCAAAGGTTTAGAGCGGATTTCGTAAGACTGTGCCAAAAAAACACTTCACTTTCGAGCAGCAACCGTACCGTACCGTGATGGTTATGTGTTCGTGGATCACTACTTGACGTCAATACAAGGCGAGGGTCCATGACTTTGCTGTGTCGTGTCCGTTGAGCAATCCTTACATTTGAACAGTCATACGAAATCCGCTCTAATACACGTTATGCACTTTTGCATCGTGCACGTCTGCGTATGTAAAGCCTCTATGTTCGTTTACGTGCGTAAAGTAACTATGTACGTTCTAGAACGTACAGAAATAATGCAACTTTGTGCAATGCATTAACGCACGTTTGCGCACGTAAAGCGTTCGTGCAAGCTTCCATACGTAAAGCCAAATGCATCGTTTACTATTGCGCGTGCGTACTTACGTCGACATTCGAGTGCAGGCGGAGGTTTAAACATATGCCATAATGGTTTACTACACGAGTCACAATTAGTTGGCATYTGGAAATGCATTGGGATAAATTGATGTCGCATGTAGTTGATTGCAGCCATTTTCTCCTGTTAATAGTACAAGAAACAGCATTAAGACAAAAATGTTATCTGACAATCAAATGGGATAATGACGACAATGGTAGATAGCGATAACCGCGCGAAGTTAATCAAGGCTAAGTATCATACATACCTCTGGAGACTGCTGGTCTTCTAGTTTTTCTTTCTCATTGGGATTTATACTTTCGCCCTCATTAGCGTAAAGAATCTYAAGACARACATAGAGTAAGTCATGCAAAGCGCAATCTTGCATGAAAATAGAATAGTAGAACATTGAACAAATGAATGGATGGAAAAATAAATAGATAAGAGAAAGCAATAGGAGATTTTCTGGGAGAAACGAAGAGGAAAAGAGATATTGAAAAAAAGACATAAATAAGAAAATATTCAACGAAAGAATAAGATTAGTTATTAGAGCGCAAACAATATACTTGTAAAAGAATTAGAAACAATTACAAACAYTTTGTGGTACATCTAATAGTTTGATGAAAATCATTCTATGGGAACCACTAGCTATTGAGTCAGCAAACAAAATCAACCAAGAAAGATCGTAATTACCTGGAATATTCTAGGAATGTCTTTAGCGTCTGCGCGTATTACATCGCCTTGCGTCACAGACCGGACGTGAAATAATTTACTAAAACAATCAAAGATGACAATGAYTGACWTAKAATTAGCGGMCAAAGATTACYGAAGAAATSGATGCCGAAAGAAAAAAGMMGAATATATCTTACCTAATATCTAAAATCATGATAGGCGTTGAACTATTTCTGTGATCAGCATCGGAATTGTAAAAAAAGAGTTTACGGCTACTAATCACAAGATACTGAAAGGTAAAATATCAAGGTTAACGTTTTGAGTAATAATCAACCATCATCACCACTGTCAATCACTTAGTCATCACCAGGGTCAATCATCATTTATTAACACTGTCAATCACCAGTAATCAGCACTGTCAATCATTAATAATCATCTCTGTCAATCATCATCACTGTCAGTCAGTTACCATCAATGCTGTCAATCATTACAGTCAATAATCAATCATTTCAATAGTCATTAGAGATTATCAGTTATTACTGTCGTTGACCATCACCACCGTTAATCATCTCCACTTTCAATCATCAATCATCTCCACTGCCAATCATCAATCATCATCACTGTCAATCATAATTATCATCACTGTCAATCATAATCATCATCTGTCAATCATAATCATCATCACCGTTCATCATCAGTAATCACCATACCTGTTTTCTCCAGCCATATTTTTTAATATTCTGTCTATTTGGTACAGATATCCAACCTTCTTTGTTCATATTCACTAATAACAGTGCAATTACAAATTAGGCAAATAATTGCAACAGTGAAATAGAAATCAGATTCTCTGGTTGCAGCTACCGAATTACAACGAGAACTACAACAAGAGAGACTCTGATAGCAGAATTACTTTTCAATAGGATTAGAGTCTTAACTTAGCGTAGAAAAAAGTACAATGTTCTTGTTGTTAGTAAACACTTACATGATATGGAGTGGTTAGGATCTTCTGTAACAGTAGGTGTATTCACCGTTGCATTCTTTAATTTATTTTGTAGTTGTTCTATCATCAGATCRTTGGACTCTAACTCCATCTAAAAAACATAAGGTAATATGTCAGAGGAAAATTTRGAAAACAGTTAAAGTGCGGTGAAGGCCCCGTATAGGGGAATGTGTGTAAGCAATACAAACATTTTGTTTACACGAAGAAATAAACAGATAGAAAAGTCTGGCTACTTGCACAAGGCCTAAATCAAGTCAAGTGGCAAAAAAACCTGAATGATATTCAACAAGATCCTAACCTGCATCTTTTGTCGCTGTTCTGTTTCCATTTGTAGATTCTAGAAACAATAGTAGTACAGAGTTATGGGTCTAGATTGATGACAAGTGGTGATGATGGTGAAAATTTATGATGATTAAGACTGATGACTAGAATGATAATGATGGTATTCTACTGCCTCTACTACTACTACTCACCGCAGTAGACTCAGCAACCTGTCCTTGGTATTTTGAGGTCATCTGTGCATACTTTTCACGCTCCTGTCAAGCAAATTTGTTAAATATTCTAATGAGTAACAGAGTTCTGATTTGAACTAGCCTGTGTAGCGGCTCTAGTGTCATGGGGAGAGGAGGTCGAAGGGGAGGGGGTGGAGGGAGGAGGTAGAACCCCCCTTCTCCTAGAGCTACAACACAGACTAAATTTGAACATCAATTGAAATTTAAAGCCAAATGACATTATATTCAGGCGGGACACACAGGAAAAAAAAAACAAAAACCAAACAAAACCAAACAAAACAAAAAACAAAACAAAAAAACAAGCAAACAAACAAAAAAAGAAAGAACACCAGCAAATTAAAATGCAACAAAACATTAAAAAAAAAACAAATCTTAAGACAAAAAAACAAACAAAAACAACAAAACATTAAAAAAAAAACAAATCTTAAGACAAAAAAACAAACAAAAAACTGTCATTAAAAAGTAGGAAAAGCAAAAGAATAAAACAGAATTACACCAAACAAGTGTTACCTGTGCTAATTCCTGGTGCAGTTTTTTACACTCTTTCTCCTTCTTTCTTAGTTCTACTGACGAAACCTTGTTTTTCTTTTGATTGTCTTTACCAAAGTCTTTACGATTCATGATCTCYGCAAGTTTATTTACTGCCTGAGTTTTGAGAATTTTTTCACTATGAAGTTGCTTTTTCAGCTGTTCTGTTGCACTTTCCACATCTTTGCTTTCCTCCTTGGCCTTGTCAAGTTCTAAAAAA